AACAAAGTCTACGTCCACTACCTTAGCTATCCACACTAAGGATTTTCCAACAAATTCACTAATTTGTTCTTTCTTTTGAGGCCAAAGAGATAACCTTACAAAATCCCTCAAGAGTATACCCCAACTCTTGAGAACACTCTTTTTCCCAAAGAGAAGATTACAAATTTGCAAACTTACAAGAAAACCTCACAAGGTAAGATGTTTGCACAATTCTAGAACAAGAAAAGAACACTCAAAGATAATTAAAAATGAGCACAAATGGTGTTCTTGAAAGCAAAATGAATATTGAAAGGAAAATTGGCTTGATTTGCACAAACTTGGTGTTTGATGCTTTCTCTCTTGTTTCTCTATGATTTCTTGTTGATCAAGGGCTTCAGAACTTGTTTAAATACACCTTGAATCTCTTCTGAACGTTGGGGATGATTAGTGGAGATCATATAGTCGTTTTAGTGTGAAAACAATTAATAAAACAATTTGGAGCGTGGGGGGAATCGGTACCCCCTATGGGGAATCGGTTCCCTAAGTGTAAAATTCAAATATTTTGACCGTTGAACAGGGGGGAATCGGTACCCCCTATGGGGGAATCGGTTCCCTCCGAGCATTCTGGAAATCTCGGAGCCAAACCATTCAGGGGGGAATCGGTACCCCCTTGGGGGGAATCGGTTCCCTCTAAGCAATCTGGAATTTTTAGCTTTGAAATGGTTCGAAATACTTTGAAAGATTATTTTGAAATTGTTTTAAGATTAAAACTTAATTTTACACTTAAGTAAGGATTAAAAATGATTTTTGAAATATTTTGAGTAATGTTTTGATATTCGAATAATTATATCGAATATACTTAGAAAATCATTTTGGAAAATCTTAAAATTCATTTAACTTAATTTGTTATATCGAAATATCAAAATGTTTTCAACAGATTCGTATTTCAATCTAAACGAATACTGATTTTGATAAGTATACAAAAAATATGAATTTTTAATTGAGGATAGGTCAGAAAGCAGGGCAGCAGATTCTGCTCAAAATAGCTTCTGTAGGTCAACTTCGAAAATTCACTATAAATTGTATAAGATGAAATAGAAAAAATGTCTTATATAGTTAGATTCATATTTTAGTATAATTTCTATTTGTATAAACGGAATAATTTTTAAGTGTGTAGATTAATATAAAATAATATTTCTTTTCAAGTAGTGCATATTGCCAGCATATAAAACTTGTCATAAATTATGTTTTCATGTTACTTCTATATTATAGGTTATTATAAATTCTTGAAATACGTCAAATTTATTAAAATTGATATGATAGTTATGATATTTATTACATGATGAATATGATGTTTATATGTTAAAGAAATATAATTGACGATAATTATGATATATAAATGTTATGTGGAAATGAAATGTTTAGGGTATGAACTGCCCATTATGTTATGATATGAAGAGTTGGATATGTTGATATATTGATATCTTCGATAATTAAATAATATATAATAATTAATGGAAAAGCCCATTGTATGTTGTATTGAGAGTCATAGGTACACTTGACAAGCCAGGAAGTTGAGTAAAGTTCAAGTTAAGTTAAGTTAAGTTATTGTACATTCGTGTACATTGTGTATGGCACCGTTGGTGCATATGATATGATTTGCACTTGAAGTGCATCTTATGTTGATGATTTGGCACTGAAGTACTTAGTGCGTACATTATGTATGACTCACGTACCTTGCATTCTCATAAATATGCATTGGGCTATGAATTTGAAAATAAGCTATGAGTATTAAGTTATGAATATGGAAATAGGTTCTGATTTAGAAAATAAATTCTGAAATGTGAAAGTACTTATTATGAATATGAAATATGAAAATGAATATGTGAATGAATATGAAAGTTGAAAATGAGAATAAAATAAGAAAGTTCTGAAAAGTATTTGAATGGAATAAAATATGACATGGTTGTTATGTTTATTATTAATTTTCATGGTTTTGACAAAATCATGAGATGATGATTTTTAGGTCTATGATGAGGAAAGATGACTTGAATAAATCGGTTTGGATATTTAATAATTTTATTTGAATTTAAGTTTAATGTTTTGAATTGTTATGATATTTTAAGTTTAAGTTTTATATAAAGAAATATAATGTTATGATGTTGTTAAGTTGCTTAATATTTTATGTTACCTTAGTTTGTTTATAATGTATCACTAAGTGAATACTTAACGTGTGATGATTCACGCGTAGGTAAAGAAGGGCAAGCGAAGTAAGGAGTCGAGTTGACATCAATCAACAAAGAACAACTACATGTATCAGTAATGACATCCTACTAGATGACATGTATACAAATAAGAAATGTCTAAGATATATTATTAGGGTTATAAATATGAATCTAAGTTTTATATTTTAGATAAAAATTATATTTTACGAGAACAAAGAAATATTTTAAAATTATGCAATTTTTAAGCAATATTGTTTACTATTGAACTACTAAACTTCTACCTAAAATTAAGCTTGATTTATATGATAACTATTATTTTATGATTTTACACGATTAATAGAATAATTGTAAAGTTAATAATGAAATATTTTATAATGAAACAAAATTTTAAGCATTTATGATCGTTGAATGTTTGTAAAGTTGATGTAACATCTTTAACTCGTATTTTGAAACATATATGAATTATGAATGTTACAATCCTCGTTTCGTTTCACTTTCTTTTTTGTTTATTCAAAGCAGACAAAGATATTTTATGTGACTTTCGCGATCATAAACGAAAGTTGGATATCAAATTACACTCAGACAATTTTATATTCTCTCAAAACTTGAGATATTTCTTCACTTCTTTTGTTTTGTTTTGTTTTGTTTTGTTTTGTTAAGGATGAGGTTAATTGGATAATTGCACTGCTAACAAATTTCCTTTCTTCCTTTCTACTAAATAGGGTATCTGAAAATGATTAAAACGAAAGACGGTGCGACGGAGAAGAAGAGTAACGAAGAAAACGATGGATCCTTATGGGAGAGATTCTTACCGCGAATAGTTCTCACTTCTCAAAGTGCTTTTAATTGAAGCCGATGATTCAACTCGTCAGATTATCACCACTTTTATTCGTAAATGCAATTACTTAGGTTTCTTCTTTACCTTCCCTTTCTTCATTTTGTTAAATCGTTATGATTCTATTTATCTAGATAAGCCAATGAAGTAGAATTGTTTAAAGGACCGACCTCATAATATTGATCTTATTTTGCTAAAAAAACGTCGTTGTAGACCTGTTTTGCTATAGTGTAAATGAGTTCATAAATAAGTCAGTGATCGATCTTGTTCGTGTGCATAAACGATAATATGTTTCTATTCGTGTTTATTAGCTTATTAAATGAACATAAAAATTTTGTTTATACTTATTTATTTAATTTAATAAACGAACATAAAGCATATTCAATGAAAATCTTTACAAAGAGTTTTGAGAGTTTATTTCTGGTAAAATGTTAAAAAAATCTTTTTAATATTTAATTAATAATCGTTTTAGTTTATATATATTTTTAAAATAATTTAACTCGGTAATTTATTTTAGAATAATTAAGTTAATGAGTAAATAGAAACCGCAAGCAAATCAAATGAGGAGACCGCCCTTAACCAGTTGAAAAGCTGATGATCTTGTTATTTTTTTTGCAAGATATAATGTATGAAAAGATAACTTTTTACCATCGGAATAGTTTTATGAAGAAAATTTTAGCATTTGAGAACGATTTGATTAATAATTATAAAAAAAACGACAAATCCTTAAATAATGAATAATCTCAAGTATCATCGTTTTCCTATATATATATATTTTTTTCATAATATATCCCTAATCAGACCTCGTATATATATATATTTATGCGTATTTATATCCTTAAATATATAATTTTTGTAAATTATTTTCAATAAATTATGTTAAATACGATTTCAACATGTGTATTTATATCCTTAAATTATGTTAAATATCCCTAATCCTAAGATGAAAATTGCTACCCATGCGATCTCGACGAAAATTATAACATTATATGATTAGAAAGATGACAAAGATTACGTCAGCGACAGTGATCGTGACCGACAAGAGCGATGACAATGGGTTAAAGTTAATGATTTTAGATTTTTAGAGATTTGTATTTTTTTTTTTTTGTAATTGAAGAGAAAATAATTAATAAAATATGACATGTGTTAATTAACAAAAAAAATGAAGAAAAATTAATGTTTTTCTATAAACATAATATTTTAATTTTAAAAAAATCAAAATTGGCAATGTATCCATATTCGACACATTAGAGTCGAGATATGAACAATATGGAAACATACTTATATCTGAAACTCATGCCTAACTCCACAACAATTGGCAATGTAGGTCTTAGGATCCGGTTGAGCACATTTAAAGCACTAGGTCTTTCAAAGAGAACAGCTATGAACCTAACAAAATCATCCAGCTCTGGCATGCTAAGATCAACAATTTGCTCAAACATTAATACAATGATATACGTACAAATTGGTGAAACTATAAGATGCCTTAACTGACAAAGTACACCATCAACATGCACTTTGATCCTCCTTATAAGTGATGAACTTCTGAACCATCTAACTAACTATCGAAAGAGACAGAGTCCTATACATCATTCTAATTAGAACTTTTATGCAAAATTGACAGAAAGGCTAGTTACCAATTACCCTTCGAGAAGAAAAAAGAAATTTAAAAAATGAAAAAATAGTATAAAGGACAAATAGCATGCACAAATCACCAAAAGCACAGCCAGATTATGCAAATGACATGAAACGTTGAGAAATAGAGATACATACACCTCCCCTAGTGCACTTGCAACAGCTTTTCTAAGATAAAATATAAACCTGAACAAGTCTCATCCCAAAGTAAAAACAACACACATCTGAGGTATAGAAAGAAGTTAAAGCAGTCCTATTAATGCCCGTAAACACCACATGAATGCATTTAAGGAAATTTTTTTGAAGAACTTTAGGAGTAATATAACTACCAACAAAACAGAATACTCATATTTACTAGATATTAAAAGCATAATCAAATGAAATTCAGAACTTCAATATAGAAGTTTGGATACACTGTGAGGCACATAATTTATTATGATACTCTTTATGTATTGAATTTCTATACCACCTTATCTATTCACATGCCAAGATGAGTACTCTACATCAACTCATGCACCAAACAGATAAGAACCAAACTCAAAGAAACATAGCTCAAGTCCCGGCTGCCAAAAGAGATAATGCTATTATACTCACAACTAAATCTACGGAACCCAGAGTCTACTACTAACAAAACACACAATAAAGTGGGAGCAAAGAAAAGAGTAATCCAACATACATAATTCATGAAAAACAGAGACTGCTTCTAAGACCTTGCAACCATGCTACAAGAACGAGCCAACATCCTAAATGTCAGACTGCCTCCTTGAACACTAGCTTCAGCCTCCACAGGATCACGCTCATATGGCTTCCTGCAACCAGGACAACGTCCATCTTCCTCAAGAATTCTCTTGTGGCAGAAGAGACAGAGCCGGAAACCACACGAACAGGGCATAAAACTTGAGTCCGTTAGATCCAAATCCTCATAGCATATTGGACATGATGATGGCACTGAAATTGCACTGCTTCGCACCCATGGTACCCTTCCTTGACCAAAACGCCAGTCAGTAGCTGGAAAACTCCGTTGCTTTGACAAATTAGGAAGAGTATGCGGACGATAAGTATCATCTGCCCTCCATGCCCTGGTACTCCCTTCTGCCCTCTGCACCATTCTTGGACACTCAGGTTTGGAGCCTCTCAAATCTGATCCTTCCCCTTCCGAGCCAAACTGGGGATTTGGCTCATGTCCAGGGGTCGATCCTAAACAAAGGTTTTCATTGTTATTCTCGCTGGGATCCGTTTCCTGCTTGTCATCATCCGCAGCCAATGCATCAGCAACGGCCTCCCAATCATCCAAGCACCCATCGTCGCCTTCTTCTTCTTCCGTGACATTACCGGAACAGCATCCGCCACTACTCGTGCTGCTACCGCTGCTGCTATTGGCGAAGCTTGTCCCAGAATCCATTCCCCCCAGCAGGCCGCTGCTCGTGTGGCTATTCAGAGGTGAAGACTCAGAATCACTCTCGTGTTGAACAGATACATTTTCTCCCTCTCCGTTAGCCTCAGCAGCTCTCCTCATCTCAAAATTCTCCAAGGAACGGTCTCTTTCACCCGGCGGGGTTCGCTTCGAATCCACATCCTTGGTCCCCTCCTTGCAACAAACCTTGTTCTTCACCGCACCTACTCAAAATAAAAATTGAATAATAATAACAATAACAACCATAAAAAAAAACCCCAATTCAAAAAGGAAACAAAGAAAGGACTAATATCAATTAACATACTTTGAGAAAGCCATTGCTCTCGGCGAGCATCGAGTTTGCACTGCTTCAATTTTGCAGACCTCTGAAAAATCCACAACCAAAACATTTAAAAAATCAGTTAAAATAAAACAAAATAAATGAAATTTAAAAAAATCGAAAATGAAAATAAAAAAAGAAAAGCATAAACAAAGTCTCTACTCTCTTCTTCCTGGAGATATCTTTGCAGTTAGATGCTGAAAGAGGAGAAGCGTTGCTGATCGAATCAGATTCCATAGCTTCCGATGAAAAAAAAACAAGGACAGATTTTTCTGAAAACAATTGGGTGATTAAGAACCCTAATTTTCTTCTCTCTCTCTCTCTCTCTCTCTCTTTTTATCTTCTATTTTGTTCAAGTTCGTTTGGCTTTAATTTTGGGAGAGAAAAAAATAAATAAATAAGGATAACGGAAACTCCTTAGCTTCGCTCCTGCGTTAAAAGGCCCAAGCCTCTCATTTTCATTTTTTTTTAAAAAAATTATAAATGAATAAATATCCTATTTTTAATACTCCTATATTTATGAACAAGATATTTTGCAATCACTTAATTTCGAAAAATATTTTTGAGAAAAAAAAAAGTAATTTATTGGATAAACTACATAAGTAGTTCTTGAACTTTCAGAGTATTTATATTTTGCTCACCAAATTTTTTAAACTTGCAATGAAATCATTAAATTTTTAATTCATGTTTATTGTAATCATTGTCGTGATTAGGAATGAACACGAAACTCACGCTCGATAGATTTTGACTAGATTCGATCTTATAGAGTCAAGTTTTTTTTTTGGGTAAGAATTTGGATTTAAGTTGAGTTCTTTAAGAATAAGGTTGAGTTTGGATATAGGGTTAAAAGTCTTCTACTTGGCCCAAGATAATAATATAAAAGTCTTCTCTATATGTGTGTGTGGATCAGTGGTTTTCTAGTTCTGGAGCTTAAATGAGTTGTTTAGCTCGATCTCTAATGATTTTGACTAAAACCAGTAATAATTCTCAGACTATAGCATGTATTTAATTGTTTTAGTAATTGGTGTCTGGTTTAATAGGTGTGAAATCATAACAGATGTCATGTCGGGATGGATATATATATGTCAAATTGAGTCGTTACATAGGATATGTTTGTTTTCCTATAATTGGTTTTTCGAAAAATATTTTTCGAAAAATGTTTTCCTAATTTTCTAGTGTTTGGTTGGCGAAAAACAAATGATCAATGTAATTCATTTTTCTAGTTAACTGAATTTCCTTTGCATTTTAAAAAAATGACTTATTATCTGATTTTCCGTAAGTCATTTACGAACTTTTCACTTCAAAGTAGAAACACTCAAAACATTATTATTTTATATATTTAATATTAATATATTATTTTAGTATCATTTTAATAAAAATATTAATTATTAAATTATATTTATTGATAATTTTAATAATATAATATTATATTTTATTATTTTAATCATATTGTTATAATATGTAATATTATAAATTTATTTTAATAATATATAATAAATTATTAATAAAATTAATATTACTTATTAATTTTATAAAAATAATATTATTGAATTGTTAAATATTTAATATATTCCTTAAAATATATATATTCTTATTTTGATATTTTAATAATATTATTTAATAAATAATTAATATAGTTAATAATATATTATTCTTTTTTAATAAATAATCAATATAATTTATAATAATTTTATTTTAAGAAAATATGATAATCATTATATTTTTAATTATAAAATTATAGATATAATATTTTAATAATAATATTGACATAAATAATATTTAATAAATTATATTAATATTTTAAAATTATTATTATTTGTTAATAAATAATATTATTTATTGTATTTGATGTTTATAATTAGGAATTTTTAAAAATTTATCAACTAGTGGAAAATGAATTACACATCATCATCCAAACACCGTAAAATATTTTTCAGAAATTATTTTTCAAAAAATATAATTCATTTTACGGAATTCATTTTCTGGAATCTATTTTCGTGAAACAAACGGACTCATAATTTTACGTGAAAATTAGGGTAAGTTTTAAATCAGATGAAATTTTTCTGAATTCAAATTAAGGGGAATAAGTGTCGATGACCGTGGAAGGCAACATTTCCATGATGCAAGTGTTGCATTACAAAACCGCGGCATTCAACGCTATTGACTATCTCTTGAAGTTCAGATACTCGGAAAAATAGGTATGTTGCTTCCATATTGAGCTAGGGATTTACACAGTGATAAATAATTGTAATAGTGCTCGTTATATAATAGTTGTAGTGTCATCGGATACTGTTATTATATGATTGTGATTACAATAACCACTGCAATAACACCTATTATATAAAGGTAGCGGCATCGTTTTATACCGTTATTGTATGACTATGATACTACAATCACTATAATAACATCTGCTATGTTCACAATCGTGATAAACATAAAATTTTGAAGATGATAAATAATGACATTTTGATATTGACTGATGTTGTAATTTCCTTTTGTTGCTCTCCTGATTTTAAGGCTTTGATTAATCTGGTCCGACCCCGTTCTCTTAATTTTGGTGGGTGAGTCATCCAACGGATATTTTCTATATACTCAATGACTCAAACCTGAGACATTGCTTAAACGATATCAAACTGCTTACTAGTTGAACCAACTCCGTTGATAACTGATGTTCTAATAGTTAAATTTGATTTATCGTAATTATAGTGATAGAAGATTATTTGATAATTGAACTCTAATTGTTTTAATTTCGTAATCATATATAATATATATACATATATAATAGGTTTATTATATATACATATAACAAACCTATTATAATTATTTTTTTTCTTTTTTATTATATAATAGCACTTTAATTGTAATTATTTTTTTTTTCTTTTTTATTGGAGGGTATGCTTCCTTTTACCTAAGCTTTCAGTTCCAAGTTCAACTTTCCCCCTTACTTTCTTAAAAAATATTACTTTTATTGTGGAACATTTTCCCCTTACATTCTTAAAAAAATATCCCTTTTATTGTGTTCGAGTAATAGATATTATATTTTCAAGACAAATATCGAGATTCAACCCTACACAAGATGTGATATCAACATCCTTAACCACTCGATCAATTAAGTAATTTCTTCGTTTATTGTGTGTTTCATACGACATTTGATCATTTATTCGATTCTGACTACAAACATTTTACAGGCCCCAATTTGATAGATTTTTAGCATTTTATATTTATTTATATATATTTGTACCGTTAATCGAGAAGGAAAAAACCTCAGCACGGTGATGGAAAAAAATTAAGGAGATTGACACAACTCTTAGGTAAAGAAAACTATGTTTAACAAAGCAAAAGTTCTGCATTCAACGTTTACAGACCAAACATACAATCCATGCCTATTAAAACAAGTTAAAAAGTCTAAACATTCTCTTTTGCAAGGAAAGGAACATTCATTCAAACAAGCAAGTCTGCAGTGCACAACGAAATCATGAGAGACAATCGATTCAAACTTACTTCTTCTCAGTGTTATTCTCGAGTTCCTTTCTCAGTTGCAGTGAGAAGTCATCGGTTACATCATCATCATCCCAATCATCTTCCCACTGCTGCATCACTTCCTTTCCTTCTTCCTCATTGTCCCAGTCTGCGACAAAAACAAAAATGTTCAGATTTCAAATTTGTATTCTTGGATAATCGAACACAGATTCATCAGGCTTTAATGGCAAGAGGCAAGACTTAATGATACCATTGTTCAAAGGAAACAAGTGGTGATTCGAAGAAACAGACGACACGTTTCAAAATAACAAAGTGTAACTAAAACACAAGCATTAGCACCTAGCAGGCAGCAGCACACAGAATTAAAATCAACATAATACAACAATGTACCTAGTGGCATATAGAATATAACACCGAGTAGCCAATTGTGGTTTGCTTGCATCAGACTTTATGTGTTTCAGAACACCATAGATTGCTTGTGATCAGGTACCAGAACAAACTCTAGAAATCGGTAGAATTTTCATTGTCATATGTATAACTACAGCAAAACCATACTTCTCTATCATTACCAAAACTTAAAGTCAGGCTTGTGGAAGGATAATATGGCTATTAGGTGACATCTCAAATCTTGTGAATTGCAAAAACTGCGATAGTCAAATGCATGACAATAGGCCAATTCAGCTTGGAGCTCGCTAAGAGAATTATTAGTTAAGATGTGGCACACACAAAGACAAACTTTTACTCCAACAAAAGTTAACAGCTTATGGACTGCAAAGAGAGTTTGATGAATCAAGAATCAATTTACTTTACATAGATTTTAAACAATAATTTATCCAAGATTTCAAACTAGATCTTGTATAATATGGTTATCCAAGTAAAAAGTTAGGAGTTTAACGGCGCAAACAAGCACTCCTATAACCTGTAGATATTAGCCCCTGCAGAATTTTCCTAATCTATTTCTAAGTTTAACCAAGTGGTGGAAGTAAGAAAGACTATTTAGGTAGCATTCTTGGTATTTCTTTCTGGCTGACTACGGCGATTTCACTCACTTGAAAGCACCTTGGTTGAGACTCTTATTGCATAATACGCTTTTTCCACCCTCTTAACAGGGCAGAGAGACAAGCTATAAGACAATCTTTAATCCTTGTTGTACTTTCAAGTATCCAGTAACTGAGAAGAGCCCAAGCAGCATAGCATATACTAGATTATAACATACCAAGAAGAACAAACTCCAGCATACATGAAAAAAAAGGGGATTTGCAGCCAATTTTGCAAACACTGACAATGTTAGATTCATTCGATCATATCTTTCAAATTCTATTCGCAACAGAAGCGATGGCCCGTTCGACTCCATCAAGTATCGCAGCAAAAATACCTTTATCTAATTCTTAAATATAAGTTGCCGAGGAAAATACTCGATCTAATTACAACCGGAACAAGTTTAACGAAACGAACCGTTCGTCATAAGTTTATACAATTCAAATTTAACAAATACAGAGGAAAAAGAAATAATCAAGCTAATCGGCATCAGTTTTTTTTTTCAGAATTACTTGACATAGACCTAAAATTAAAGTTTAACAATAGCCTCCGGGATTTTTTTAAAAAAAGAAAAAAAGAAGATAAAAAAGGGGAAAAGAATTACCTTCATTGATTTCAAATTCTTCAAACTCATCGTCATCTTCGAACAAATCCAACTTTACTTCTTCCGTCGCCGGTTTTGGTTGTTCAGTTGCCATTTTTCTTAGCCGAAAAGAAAAATAGTAACAAACCCAAATTTCACAGAAATAGCGAAGATGAAACGTGGACAGAAAAAGGACGTCAAATATTTATAGTCGGTCAATTTTTATAAAAAGGGTAAACGACACATTTAGTTCTCCAACTATCACTTGTATTCCGTTTTAATCACCAAACTATATTTATTTCAAAATCATGCCTAACGTTACGTTTTGATTTCATTTCGATCCACCATTGTTAAAAAATTAACAGTGATGCTGACATGTCACCATAAGGTATGCCACTTTTTCATTGAAAAAATTAATAAAAAAATATCAATAATTATGTTATTTTTTAACGATAGTTGACCAAAATAAAACCAAAACATAACATTAAGTATGATTTAAAAATAATAACTAAATGATCAAAATAGAACAAAAATAAAAATTGAGATACCAAATATATATTTTACTCCAAATTCATGTACAATATTTTAAGGCAAGGGGGTCTTGAATGATCCCTTAGTGTGTCTTTTGTTTTGATTATCTCTTTTGATGTAGTGAGTTTAGGACTAATTATGATGCCGTTGATGAGAGGGTGAAGGGAGCTCTTTTTGGATGGTCCTTGGTGCTGTTATAGTCTTGGATTCTGAGGTGTTATGGTTGATTTTTCATTGAGAAGGCTAAGACCCTGTCCTTGAGGAGTCTTGTTTGATGTTTTGAAGTCAGGCAATCATGTTTTGTGGGGTGGATTGGTGTATTTGGAAGTTTTTTTTTGTGGTTTGTGCTTTCATACTGGGTTGTTGTAGTCTCATGTTTCTCAGACAGTGTGTGTTTTCTCAGGAGCTAGTTTATGGCTTTCTGTTATTTTCACTTTATGGTTCACTCTTTTTCCTCCTAATAGGTTTAGAGAGGTTTTTTTAATGAGGTCCATGAGGTGGTGTACCTTGTATCCTTATCAATACAAAGTACTAATTTTTCAAAAAGGTAAACTATACGAATAGTCCTCTAATCATAGAGCATAATTGTGTTGAGTCCTAGAATTTTGAAAAAAAATATAAAATGATCAAAGACTTAAAAGATAACAAGTTTGTCATTTTCATTAAAAAGTTTATTATATGATATGATAGTTAATAAATTTAATCCTTAAAACTAACACTTCATTCAATTTAGTCTTCATTATAAAAATAATCATCAATATTTTGATATTCTTCCAATTTAATCCTTATTAAACATGCCTAAAAACAACTTCCTACTACTCCACCTTCCTCATCCCTACTACACCACAAAACTCTTCAAAATCTTTATTTGGTGCTTACCCCGAATCACTGTTTTACTTATTCAACCACACAACCAAAGCCCTAGCAAACTCAAACGCCATTTACAGAGATATACAGAGAAATAAAAGTAGCTTCAAGTTACGGTGTTAAAATTCGAAGTTGATCATCCACGTTGAGCTCGCTAACAATTAAATTTATCACAATTCAGACACAATATATCTGAAGTGATTATGGATGACTATTAATATAAAATAATTAATTTAAAACTTCATAATGTTAATGAATTAATACAATAATAAAATAATCACCAACTAAATAGACGATAATAAACTTATAAAAATTAGACAAAAAAAGATACAAAAGTAAACAACATTCGCTATTTGCATGAGGGCTTATTAAAATAAAAAAAAATTATATGGATAAAATAAATTTTAGAGAGGAAGAAAGAGAAAAAAAAATTAGAATCTAGACATACTTAACAATCCTCAATCAATTATATATATAATATAGTATGACAGTACATAAATGATTATCGATCGTAGAATATTGCTTTATTAAGTTATTTGATCATTAAAAGTTATAAAATATTCTATTATTAAGTGTTACTTTGTTGAGTCCTTTAACTATCAAAAGTTATAAAATGGTCACTCGACTATTTATTATATTCCAAACTCGTATTTTTGGTTAAGAAATTAACGATATTCTGAGTTAACGTTAACTTCCTTTCTGTGATATGGTAAAATCTGATACCAGAATCTCAAACAACTATCACATCTCAATCATCATTTTAACGTCTAATTTAGACAACCACTAATTTTTTAACGAAAAATGACAAGTTTAAAATATTAAAAATAGTTAGATGATCATTTTGTAACTTAATAGTTGAAAGACTTAATAAAATAATACCCTATAGTTGGAGTACGAATTGTGTACTTTATGCTATATATTATAATGTCGTTATTAATCAACCCAATACTAAATATTCCATGAATTTGCTTTCTTTGGCGCTCTATCTATTGCCGTTCAAGTAAAGAAGGGTATTACTTCCATGCCCGTGAAAATCCACAGAACTTGCTACGCCTTCCATACTTTCAAAATCTCTCAAGCCCAAAATCTGCTTCTTTCTTTCGTTTCATTCCCTGTCTCCCGCCTTTCCATCTTCCATGTCAACGCAGGGGGTTTCAGGGAAATCACCACCGCCACCTTTCTCGTAAGTAAAATTCCTAAACACTTTTTTCCCAGAAATTATTTGATATACCTTTTGGACGCGCAGTGTTTAGGAGAAATCACCACCGCACCGCCATCTTTCATATACCTTGTTATTGAATCAGCTGCTGCTGCTGCTGCTGTTGTTAATCTCATTTGTAATGGGTTTTTTTTTATTTGTGGAAGATGGATCGCGTCCTTCAACACTACGCGTCCAAAAGGTTCGGAGAGTTCCCTCAGACCTTCTCTCTCAAGCGAGAAATTCCGCGGTGGAATCAAATCCTCGATCCTGGGAGCCCGATTGTGACCAAATGGAACTACGTTATTCTTTTCACATGCATTGTAGCTTTGTTTTTAGACCCTCTCTACTTTTACCTTCCCGTTGTCGGTTCCCCCGGCTGCGTGCAGATCGATCTCGGCCTCGGCATCGTCGTCACCTTCTTCCGTACCGTCGCCGACTTGTTCTTTTTCATACACATCACCGTCAAGTTCAGGACAGCTTTCGTGGCACCCAATTCTAGGGTCTTCGGAAGGGGAGAGCTCGTGATGGATGGAAAAGCCATCGCCATTCGATACTTGAAGTCCAGTTTCATCATTGATCTTGACGCCGCCCTCCCTCTCCCACAGATTAACTCGCTTTTATACTCTATTGCTTTGTTCTTGTTGGGGAGACATCTAAACATGCTCCATGTCGTACATCAAGATCCTTGGAACTAGCTGTGAGTTTTTGACATTGATGTCAACAAGTCTAACGTGATCTATTATAATTAATTGAGGATTGATTGTATCAATCGGGTCTACTTATTCTTATGGATAGAAGGAGAAACGGCTGCTTCCGAAAATTTTAAATTCTCGTACGTAATTTTAACTTCAACATTCCTTGTAAAACAAAGAATATCCCTATTGATTAACATTCATTTAACCATGAGTTGCAACTTTTCGCCCAATCATTCAACCATCTATTACGTCTATGACCCTTTTGTTAGCATCAACCAGTCTCAAATGACATGCATTGATTTTCATTATATCGCTTCTCAGATTGTCATATGGTTCATAATTCCGGGATCCAAAAGTGGAACGGCTGCTCATGCAAACCATACACTTTCTTTCATCGTGCTCCTTCAATACATTCCTCGATTCGTAATCATGTTTCCGATCAATCAACGCATCCTCAAAAGTACCGGAGTTGTCACCAAGACTGCCTGGTCAGGGGCAATGTACAACCTCGTCCTGTGCACATTAGCAAGCCATGTGAGCACCACATCTCCCCTTCTCTTTCCAACCATCCCCTGCTGTAATCATGATTTTAAATTGCAAATGCAGGTCTTAGGAGCTTCATGGTATGTCTTGTCAATTCAACGGCAGTACGATTGCTGGAGTTTAGAATGCACGAAGAGATGAACGCGACGCATTCGCCATCGTGCAATTATTACTTCCTCGATTGTAGTACCGTTGGGAAGCCTGCACGGAACGCTTGGCTCAAGAAAACCAATGTGATCATCAACTGCGATGCTTTGAACGACGACAACAAAGACTTTGAGTTCGAAATGTTTGCCGATGCCTTTACGAACAACGTTGCGTCATCGGTTGATGCAGGGGATCCGAGACAGATGATGTTGAGCTGTCAGATTGCACCTTGATGGCGCTGAGATACTATGAATTGACAGATCATCGCAAAGGCGGGAATTGACTGGGACATGTTCCTTATTGGGGTCGTTTTGAGTATGTTTCAGTCTTTTGGCCATAACTTTGGCTACAAGTGTCAGAATCACGCATAAGACCCCAATCCGAAAAGTTCTTTTCGACGCGCACGCTCTCCACATGAAACTATGCTCCATGTGGCCTTTTTTTCAACCTCAAATTCTGCCGTTTCCCCCTCCGAATCACTAGATTTAGATATTTTTTACTATTTATGATAATATTTCGATTGTCAATTAGGAAGTCAATTTAAATCTGATTTAGGCCGGATTTTTTGGAGATTGCTTATTTTATTTCGAATTTCAATTTAGAGTGATTTTCGGGATTTTGCTATTTTTGGCAAAATTCGAATAAAGACGATTTTTTGCTATAACAGTCCGGCCTGTGGACTGATTTTGGGTATTGTTTGATTTTATAATATTTTTATTAAACTCTAGAGACTTTTTTCTCTGGTTTTTTTAGGCGAATTTTCTCTTGTGAATCATCTGTTGGAGTGCCTGCAGGATAATCACTATTCTGTCCGGCGTCATTGGCGTTCACGGATAAGTTCTTTTATTGCCTTTGGTGGGGATTGAAAAGTTTATGGTAAATATTTTAGTTATAGAGTCAGTTTGATCTTTGGTGTTGGTGTTCATCGCTTGAAACAATTATGATATATATGCAGTTCATATGGAAAACGTATTGAGACAAGTACTCTTCATTCGGAAACTTTATTTTGCTGTCTTATTTGCATAGGCATTATAATTGGATATTTTTCTTTTGAAAATTATGAAATGGTCTGAAAACTTTCTTATTTTTTTTGTGAAAATATCCCTAGTTTTGAATTTTCTTTGACTTTTAGATGACGAGGTATCTTCTTCCAAATCTCAATGATGGAAAAGTTGAGAAAGA